ATGGTTTTAATGTGGTGCATTTTAATGCACGTAGTCTAAGCCGTGATAAACTTGACTTAGCTAGGTACGTCTTTGAAGAGTCTGCAGTGGATGTAATTTGTGTTTCTGAGACTTGGTTCCATAGTGACCTTCCTGATTTCAACCTGTCTTTAAACGGCTACAATTTATTGAGGCATGGTCGTATACTTAAAAAAGGGGGGGGGGGGGGGGGGGGGGGGTAGTTCAGTGTACTGTAACAAAAGTCTGAAACTCAAACTGTTAGTAAAATCATACAACTGCGAATCTGAATACATAATTCCTGAAGTATCTGATGGCGTGAATAAAGTCTTACTCGCATGTGTTTATAATCCTAATAAGGGTATAGCTCTAGATACATTATTTTTTGACCTGTCTGAATTTGTGTTAGATTATGAGCGTATTCTTATCTGTGGTGATTTTAATGTAAATATATTAGTAAACGATCCCAGTAGTAGTAAATCATTGGACCAGTTGGCAACAGCAGGTCTTTGTGTTGTTAACGAAACTATGCCAACGAGGTATGCAAATAACTCCCCACCTAGTCTCCTTGATTATTTTATTACCTGCCGACCATGATTTAATATTTTGTTCTCTAGATGTTGTGATGAATCGTCCAGGTTTAGGTGCTACCTTTGTGTATCGTGATTTTAAGTCGTTGAATGTAGATTCTTTGTTTTCAGACCTGAGCAATATTTATTGGAATGAATGTTGGTTTCTTCCCACTGTTGATGATAAACTTGACTTCCTCAACAATAACTTGTCCATGTTGTTTAATGTGCATGTTCCACTGTGTTCTGTAAATATGGTAAATAGTTCGTGTCCTTGGTACAATTCCAAAGTTCGTTCTGCCATCAGGAAACGCAATAAGTCTTATGCTAAGTGGAGAAAAAATCAAACGGACACTTCTTGGAATCGTTACAAGGAAATTCGAAATGAAACTACTGCTATAATAAGACAAGCAAAACGTTGGTACAGCTATTCAAGACTAAATCCGTCACTCCCCACGAAGGAACTGTGGCGCAATCTAAAAAATCTTAAAATACATAGCAAAGAAAGACCCGAGTGTGAAATTTACGTCGATGAGCTGAACGAATATTTTATCAGTGCCAACAACAAAAACCATTGTGCTCCCGTGTTGAAGGATTTCATGTCTTGTGCTAGTCCAAAACACGAGTTTCGATTTATGGCAGTTATCGAAGTTGAGGTCCTGATGGCCCTGTCAAAAATTAAGTCTAACGCTATAGGGGAAGATGAAATCTCGCTGAAATTCGTCAAAATAGTAATTGATTTTATAATAGGCCCTCTGACTCATATAATAAACTATTGTTTTACCAGCTCATGCTTTCCAGCAGTTTGGAAAAAAGCTATAATTTTGCCAGCTCCGAAGAAGACGAATGCTACTTATGCTGGCATCTATAGACCTGTCAGCATACTGCCTGTCTTTTCGAAGGCTTGTGAAAACTTAATGGCTGCGCAAATTTCTGCATTTGTGCAAGAAAATAGTCTGCTTTCTCCACTACAATCTGGCTTCCGACAAAAACACAGTTGTTCGACGGCAGTGGTCAAAATACTGGATGATATTAGAATTAACTTTGACAATGGCGACCTGACACTTCTTTGCTTACTCGACTTCTCAAAGGCGTTTGACTCAGTGAATCACAAATTGTTGTGTCTGAAGCTCAAACATTATTTCGGCTTCAAAGACAGTACGGTGAAACTTATGGTTAGCTACCTGGAGGGTAGAATGCAGAAGGTTAAGTCAAACAAACTAATATCCCGGCCTAGATTTGTGTATGCTGGTGTTCCACAAGGTTCTGTCCTCGGTCCACTGTTATTCAGTCTCTTTGTCAATGATGTCTTTCCTGTTTGTCAATATGTGAATATCCATGCGTATGCTGATGACATACAATTGTACCTGTCCAGTCGTATTGGTCTCGTTGAGGATTTATGTTTCAAAATAAACAGTAACTTGTCTGCTATTTCTGTTTGGGCTGCTGGAAATTCTCTATGTTTAAATGCGTCAAAGTCGTATGTATTGCCTGTATGTAATAGTGTGGTGTATGTTGATTGTATTCCAAAACTGTGGATAGGTACCAGTCCGCTTAGTTTTACGGATAAGATAAGAAATATAGGTTTTATTCTTAACTCTAAACTTACATGTACTGACCACATAAATAAGGTTGTGAGCAGCGTGTATGCGATACTGCGTAAGCTGAGAGTTTCTGCAACATTTACGACACTGGAAACCAGGCGTAAATTAGTTCTCCAACTAATTATGCCAATCATCACCTACTCTGAGGTAGTATACATTCACGTTATGTATATGGGATTGGTAGATATGAGCACATTTCTGCCTGTCGAACAAATATCCTAAGTTGTAGTCTTGAGAACTATTTGGCCGCTAGGAATTGTATATTTATTTACAAACTTACTGTATTTAAAATACCTGTCTATCTCTTTGAGAAGCTGATACCAGTAAGGTCACAGAGACACAACAGTTTTATTGTTCCAAAATTTACTTACCTAGCATCATCAAGACTATTTTTCATTAACGCAGTAAGAGTCTGGAATTCATTACCTGAGACCGTAAAGAGTGGGTTAAACAGATTCAACTACAGGACACAAATCTACAATTATTTTAAAAATGACTGATAGCATTGTGTAAGGGCATTAAAATTTTCTCTATCTCTCTCCACTATTTTTGTTCTATTCTAATATTTTTTTTTCTTTTCTATTAATTAAGTCATACTCGTTGTTATTGTTAAGTTACATATATTGTATTTTGTTGTTTAATAAAATTTGTTGTTTGAGAAAATTTGTAAAAATTAAAATTTAAGAAACTTGCATAGTAAAATAAGTATTGTAAAACAAAATATATATATATATAGTTGAAGTACTATTAAAATACATAAGTCTTACTCTGTACTACTGAAACAAATTAATTAATAATAATAATTAATAATTGATTGCTCTTCTACTAATACTATACATTAACATTTTTCCTATTTTCTTTACTAATTTTTAGTTATTTTCAAATACATACTTTATACATATTAATTTATTGTACAATTAATTAATCAATTATACGTACATTATAGCCTAGGGTTGGATAGCTGGCGAGGCCTAGTCTCCAGTCTATCTTTATGTTCAGCAGGCGGAAAGGCCTAGTTTCCGCTCTGCGTCAATAAAGGCGTTTACCATGGTCGGAAAGGCCGAGTTTCCAATCCATGTTCTTTTCATAATTATGTTGCTGTGAAACGGGCGGAAAGCTCTAGTTTCCGCTCCGTACTGCGAACGAGCTGTTGGGCATGGTCGGAAAGGCCGGGTTTCCGATCCATGCTCGTAGCGTCTCTCATATGCTAGTATCTTGTTAGAATGGCGAGGCCCAATGGCAATCTTATATGTGTTTTTTGCAATGCTCGTGTAATAAACTTTTGAATTTTTGTAAGCTATTGCAGCTTCTCATTTCTACGGGCAGTTCGTTAAACATTTTTAAACCTTTATAGTACAAGTCTCTCTTTTGATTTTCCGTCTGGCAAAATGGAAGTTTAAAGTTATCCCTGACTCTGTTTTCATAGGTGTGAGTGTCACTGCTGTACCTAAAGTTATCACTCAAGTATTTCGGAAGGGTTCCATTCTTTATATTATAAATAAACTTCATTGTATGGAAAAAGATTAGTCGTTTCACATTTAACCAGTTTAAATTGTTCAGCATTGATGAAATGCTGGTATCGTATCGGGCATTAAGTATGTGCTTATTTTGCATTTTTTGTAGCCTCTCTATATACATACGTCTCAGGTGTTATAAACAGTATAGTGGGGCAGTATATAAAATGTGGCTTAATAATTGATCTGTAAACCATAATTTTATATCTTCTACTTAGATGTTTACATGTCCTTTTCATAAATCCAATTTTTTTCGACGCTTTGTTGACGGTATACTCAATGTTATCATGGAATTTTAATTTATTATCAGTTAAAACACTAAGATATTTAATTGTAGAAACCTCTGTAATTTTCTCATCCCTAACATGTAAATCGTGTCGCCCTAATCTAGTTTTATTTGCTGAAGAAATTATCATATAATTGGTCTTTTACGTTTAACATTAGCTTATTTTTGCATAACCAGACATATAGTGAGTCTAAGTCATTTTGCATTTTATGAGTTGCTGTGTCCAAATCGTCTTCACTTATAGTCAACAGTGCATCATCAGCAAACAGTCTTATCTTACAATACCTGATTGATGATAAAATATCGTTGATGTAGATATTGCAAAAAATTGGTGCTACTACTGAACCCTGTGGAAGTTCAATATCTACCGGCAAATCCTTAGACAATACTTCTCCTATAACTGAGTGTTGCTTTCTATTGGTTAAGAAGCTCTCAAACCACTTCAGTTCTACCTCTTTAATACCAATTTGTTTCAACTTATAAATCATTAGTTTTCGATCAATGGTTTCAAAAGCTCTTTTCAAGTCAATAAAAACTGTCAGTATTACTTTTTTACTTCTCATGTCTTCCTTCCATTGAGAAATAACCCAGTTAAGTGTCGTTTCACACGAATGTTTAGCTCAAAACCCTGACTGCTCTTTCATTCATTTATTTTTATCTTCAATATACTCCATGAGTTGGTTTTTTACCACTGTTTCTAATATTTTCTCCAGATTTGGCAGAGTATTGATCGGTCGAAGTTCTTCAGCTTTAACTGTGTTTTTAATTTTTTTGACTGGAACCACTGTGGAAACTTTCCATTCATCAGGTACGATACCATCTTTATACTTTTGTTGATCATAATTGAATAAAAATACCCCAAGTATATTAAAGAGTCTTTTATTACTCCTTCAGATAATAGATTCTCCCACCAATTTTATATTTAAATTTCTTGACAATTCGCACTATGTCATCAGTAGTTACTTCGTTAAATTTAAATGTGCTATCAATGTTATTATAGTTGTTATCACTATATTCTATATTTTCAATATTATTATTTATTTCCACTATGCAAAGTAGGTATTTAAGACCTCTGCTATTTGATTTTTATCTTCAATATATTGACCACCATGTTGTAATAATGTAATATCATCTTTTATACTATTATAGCAAACCGTCTGTTTTAAATATTTCCACATTAACTTGCTATCGGACTGGTTAGTTATAATTTTATTCTCCATATATTCAATTTTTTCAGTTTTATCATTTTTTTTGTATTCTTTTTTAATACTGTAGTAGTCTGACCATTGGTGTGATGCTTTTGCTAAATTGTATGCCTCTGATTTTCTTTTATTTAGTTGTGTCAGTTCGTAGTCATACCACTTATTCTTTATTTTAATGTTTATTTGTTTCACAAACGTTAATTGTTGCAGATTGTTAAGCAAGTATAGATCTAGGAATGCTACCATTTCCTCTAAATCAAGTTGATCAAATATGGAAAAATCGTAACATCTGAGCAGATCAATTAAGCTATCACAACTATACCGTTCCCAAGAAACTATTTCTGATACCACTCTGAGAGGGATTTGATTTCCTATATTAATATTAAACATTATTGTTTCATGATCAGATATTTTGTGTCGATCAAGCCTCTTACATGCAATATTTTTCACATTTGAATATAGGAGATCAATCTTTGTCTGAGATTCTTCTGCTATTCGGGTATTGAAATCTACAAGTTGGTGCATGGAAATGGAATTAAACAACTCATTCAATTTCACACTGTGTGTCGATACTTTGTTCATATTAATATTAAAATCTCCAACAATTACATTGTTAGACGTTGTATCACATATGTTCATTACTATTGAATCAAGATAGTTGATAAACTCACTATCACTAGTACTTGGGGAGTGGTATATAACTCCAATTTTCCATTTAACCTCAAGATTTTTTAATTGCACAATAATACACCATATATTTGTATTCATGACTTTATTATATTTTACCATGAATTCCAGCGAGTTTTTAATGTTCATAACTACACCTCCGGTGTGCCTACTATGTGAATCACATCTAATTGCTGTAAACGATGTTACACCTATTTCAGCATCCCTAATTTGATCTGTTATGCTAGTTTCGGAACAAAGTACAAGAGCTGGGTCAAATAGCTCCACTAGTCTGTCGATTTCAAGTTTATTGTGTATTAAGCTATTAACGTTTAAATATATTACTTTTAAATCTTCTGATTTTTTACTTATAACACTTGCTAGATTTGGTTGCTAGTAACCCTCCCGCTGGTTTTGTATTTTCAGTTTTCTTTGGTAGACAGGGCATTCCTTGCTGAAAATGCTATGACCTGTATCGAGTTAAAAACCAAGATCTTTATTTGCGTCCGCACAATTTCCACAGACAGGATTTTTTACCTGTGTACTACACTCATCAGATTTATGTTTACCCAAACATAGACCACATCTTAACTCCTTAGTGCATGTATTTGCGTTGTGATTGTACCCTAAGCATTTGAAACATCTTTTAACATTTAGCCCATCATATACGTCACACTGATCCCACCGATGTTAATTTTCTCCCGTTTTACACCGTGCACACCGAGCTATTATTTCTTCTTTGTTTAAAAACTTTCACACATTTTATAAAAGCATTGGATTTATCTATCACCTTATTAATTTTCATGTCAGTGGCATCTATCTTGTTTAGGTGTTTTTTTGTTACGCCAACACTTTGTTTTGATTTTGGCTTAACAATAATAGGCGGGACACTTTTTAAAGCATTAAGCTCGGAACACTTTGACGACTGCAACTTCACGACGTAACGACAGCGACATCATTTTGTCGACAAATGTCGCCTTGAAGCCAGCTTCTTAAACATTTTGAAGACCTCAGCGACATAGCAAACAGCTGATTTTAAAGTTTGACATTTTGGTATATTTATTTCACAAATTGTGTATTTTTATTTAAGTAAATAAGAAAAACATGAACAATCAAGAATATGTGATTAATTTTGCGACAATTTAATTTTGCAGCACTACATCTACTCATTGTCGCCGGCAAAAGTAGAAATAGATTTAATTTGGCGACGTCGACAATTGCAGTCCTGCAGCCAAGATGTCGTGCTGTCGTCAAAATAATTGTGTCCGTAAGAACGTGTGTATTTAAAATTTGACAGATGCTGCTTGTCGCTTGCTGTCGTCAAAGTTTTCCGAGCTTTAGTATACATTGCATTAGCATAGCAACTTTTTTCACCCTTTTTAATTATCTCCTCTCTTTGCTTAGACAAACCTTCAGCTGATTACTCTAAGGGCCGGTTACTCAATGTCTGGTTAACACTAACCTCCGTTTAAACATCATTATCGACGTGTTCGGCTCCATGCATATAACATGGAGTCGGTAACGTCGATAACGATGTTTTACCGGAGATTAGTGTTAACCAGACATTGAGTAACCGGCCCTAAGTAATCTTTATTAAAAATGCACAAGTTTTCGACCCTCTTAATTAAATCATCTTTCTCCTTATTTGCTTTTTTTAAAGTCTCCATTATCCTCTTAATTTCTTTCTCATTGTTAGCTACTAATTCCTTGATTTCCCTATTATGATTGTTTAGTGGGCCTTCGAATTCCGTTTTCTGTTCGCATATATTTATTTTGTTGCTTATCATTTGTTTGAGCGCATAATCAACATTCGATATGTATGTAACACAGTGATCACACATGAATCTCAAGAAGGGGCAATTTACTAAACCTTGCAAACAGTAGTCATCTATAGATGCACACGCTTTGGTTTTGTGATAGACTCTACCACACATACCCGCACAGTGCAATCCAGTTTTATCTCTTATGCCTTTTCGGCACTTTTGACACTCTTCCATTATTCACTCAGCCACCGCGCTTTTGTTTACTGTTTTGTTTATTTTGTGCAAAGGAAGGTGGAATTAGAAAAATTATTATTTAGAGTTCAACTCTTGAATTCAATCTTTTTCACTTGTTTAGAAATATTTCATTACTGGTATAGAGTCACTATCTCGTAAAACCAGCAGCCGAGTTTATACATGAATATAAGTTTGAAATATCTCGATTTATAATAAATTATTGCAGAACAATCAAATGCACGTCTATTCACGTTGACACTCTCTTTTGGTATATGAATAACGTTCGCTTAAAATCGATCTCAAATTTTGTACAACGGCTTTATCAACTTGCAATGTTGTTTGTCCAGACAGCTATAAAAGCTTTGCTTTGCAAATTTCCAAAAAAACGCATAGTGCATAGGGGGATCTACCTCTACAGTTGAGAAGTAGATGTCGCCCTATACACTAACTACGCTACAGCGAAAATGGACGACACGCCATTTCCTTAAATCAGCGATGGCAGAGAGCTTTTACTCTGCTCGCGCCTATACAAATGTATAGAAAGCTTAAAAGGGAGCAGGCAGTGCCTATCAGTGCTTTAAATGAAATTAATTGGTGCTCGTATGGACGTGCATACATATGCATATGCATGTGTGTGCATCAATCTATTAATATCGTTGAATTATTTTAATATCTATTGCAAAATTTTCTACAGACAAGACTAACAAGTAGAAAATAAATAAAAATAAAAAAACTTTTTAATGTGCGTGGTTTTATAAATGGACTAACTTGGATAAATGGAAAGTAACTTTTGATTTTGAAATTTTTGCAAAAGTCATTATAAACAATTTATAAGATTGAAAATGAAAAGCGTGGGGCGCATGCATGTATGTATATTGGCAGTAAGAGCTAGTACCGTCCGAAAACCTTGCAGTACAGATATACCAATAAAACCGTACAAAATAAAAGGAAAAGATACGTTTATAAATAAACATATACACAACACATACACAAAAACGGCACTCACGGACACAATACATACGAGGGATTTTGCGAATATTTGCATTCGTTATGCGAATGATTCGCATCATTTTACACATTCGCATTCGCATCAGATGATACGTATGTTTTGCGAATGCGAATGTGTACATGGGCAGAGTGTCCACACTAATGTTGTTGAAATGGCTCTAAGTCTGTCTAACGAGGGTGCGGGCAATAACCGGCCTTTAGCTTCCGGCGCTAAACGGTTAAGTAGTATATCAAGCAACATTGATGGGCCTTTAACAAGTACTGCTAAAAGTCGTATAAGCAACCTAGAAATAATTTTAGATTCCTACAGCGAAAGCAAAAATTTGAAATAACAGCTCACTGGAAGGCCTATCTTAAAGAAAACCGGGCTGATCTCGGTGAAAATCCTCTCGATTGGTGGAAAACTAAACAAAAATACGCGCGGTATTGTCACTTGCGAAGCGAATGAATTTGGCGAAGCGAACGGTTTGGCGAATCGAACTAAAAGGCAGAGAAGGTATTAAAAGTGTGCGCGATGCGAAGAACTTGCACAAGCTGGTAAAAGCGAACACTCTTAATGCATATTTAAGTTGCGTCCGCCAATCCATTCGCTTCGCCAAACCGTTCGCTTCGCCAAATTTGTTCGCTTCGCAAGTGACAATACCGCCCTACGACAAATTTACCAATCTGGGTCGCACATATTTGAGCGCTCCACCCGCCGTTCCAAGTGAGCAATTCTTTAGTGCAGCCGGCCTTGTATACAAGCCTCCAAGAAATCGCCTCATGGGAGAAAAGGCAGCAAAATTACTTTTTATGAAATATATAATTGCCATTTTGAACTTTGGCTACAAGATTAAGACACTGTATAGGTTAAGTACTCGTTCAATGTTATAATAATTTACAAAATTTTTAAGTAATAAAAACGATGACTTAACATTCGCATTCGCGAATGTGAAAAATATGGCATTCGAGACATCCCTATTAAATACACAAAAACCGTACACATTGGGAAGTTAGCTTACTCTCAATTCTGTCTAACGAGGGTGCGGGCAATAACCGGCCTTTAGCTTCAGGCGCTAAACGGTTAAGTTGTATATCAAGCAACATTGATGGGCCTTTAACAAGTACTGCTAAAAGTCGTATAAGCAACCTAGAAATAATTTAGATTCCTACAGCGAAAGCAAAGGCTCGGATGTAAAATCTGGAGACATTAAAAAATTTGAAATAAAAGCTCAATTGAAGGCCTATCTTAAAGAAAAACGGGCTCATCTCGGTGAAAATCCTCTCGATAATGTTATAATAATCTACAAAACTTTTAATTTTACGATGACTTAACATTCGCATTAGCGAATGTGAAAAATATGGCATTCGAGACATCCCTATTAAATACACGAAAAACGTACTAGACTGTCTCGCTTAGATTTCGGAATGCTTACCAATTGGGAAGTTAGCTTACTGCCAATATAGAAGTATTACATATATGGGCGCATGTTAAAGACTTGAATAGATATGGAAAGTAATATATGTACATATGTACCAGAGATCGAAAATAACCGTCACCAAGTGTCTCGTATGGTGTTTACCACTGACGCAAACACTCATCTCTCAAGCAAAGAGTGTTTCCCACCGTGGCAAATCACTCTGTGCGATCATTTTGTGTTTTCCGTTGTGGGTTATTTATCAACTGCTAAAATTGGGCAAAAACACTTTGACAAGGACTTTTAAGGGCCGGTTACTCAATGTCTGTTTAACACTAATCTGCGGTTAAATATCGTTATCGGTGTCTTAATTTGTGGGTTATTGTAGGACTGAAAAATATAAATGGGCGTAATAAGTGGAAGCAAAGCGTTAGGCATTTCTTTACACGACATATACGTATACATTAGGGCGGGTCAATTTTTTTTTCGACATCGTTCCTAGCAGATTCGGATTCTACACAAAATTCTAAGAAAAAAAGCCCTTTAGACCATAGCTCTAGAATCAATTTCGAGCCTGCGCAATTTTAAAAGAAAATATTTTTAATTAATACTAAGTCCATAATCAGATTAATATTTGTGACCTGCTCTACGAAAAGGGAGCTTACGTGCGAAAACTAGTTTTCTGTCAAAAAGCTGTTAAAAGTAAGCAACTCGTTTCGTCAGTTTCTCATTATCTCGTTAATTGTTCTCCGCGCCGGACGTCCAGTAAGTGTTGTTGTTGGTTCAGTAAGTGTTGTTGTTGGTCCAGTAAGTGTTGTTGTTGGTCGGAATATTATTATAGTTCATCGCTTATAATTCAATGTATTTTGTTCATTACCAATAAATTATATTTTGTCGTATTTTTACTCTTCTTTCTCTATATTTTTAGTACACTTCTAAGCAAGTTAGGATTTTCTGCTTTTCACCACGTGAAAAAGCATCTCATCTTCCATCCGAATCAACCAAAAAGTGAAAATTGATTTTTTGACACCTAAGCCCCCTTTCCGTAGACCAGGTCACATTTACTAAAGTGTTAGGAATGTTTTTTTTTTTTGTAATAAAGAGTTGTGCTCGGGAGTTTTGTGATACGAAAAATTAATTTCTGATATCTATTTTTTATTTAAAGAACCGCAAGATGGCGCTTCAAAGCATATCTACTATATATTTGTGGAAGTATGTATGTATGTATGTACCAGGTTGCAGCCTGAACGGATGTACAGAATCGAATAAAATTTTGCCAAAGTATTGCCATGACTCCTGGACCTATAATAGGGTAAAAAAATTGAAACTCGCCAAGGGGGGGAGGGGGATGAGGGGTACCTCCCATAGTGAAAATTTTTAATCAGCTCTAACTTCGGAATTATAGTCACATGAACTCGAAATTTGAAACGCACAGATACCTATGGTAGGTGCTTATGGAAAGATATATGTATATAAATGAGTTTGTAAAAAGGGGCGTGGCACA